CTGAGCATTGAAAGGCATTCATAGGCGCATGGAATATTGGGTGTCACAGCTTTCTCAAAAGGGACCCTGAAGAGTCTGAGCATTGAAAGGCATTCGTAGGCACATGGAATATTGGGTTTGAACATTAGAGGTCAGTTAGACCAGACTCTTGAGGCACGTAGAGTTCCTTCCGCAGCATCCCTGGCCTAATTGTCATCTGGCCTCTGCTTGAATACCTAGAGTGACGTGGAACGCACTACCTCAGCACATTCACTAGGACACGCGTGCTTTCCAGAACATTCCCTCAGGGTGCAGCCTCACCAAGCCAGTGCTGTGTAACCTTTCTTCCATGAAATGAAGAAAGAATCTAGAAACAAAAGCATACCCCCAGCTAGCATGGGGTGGCAGCTCTGTTTGGTTTTCTTTCTCCCCCCAGCTGGGGATGGATTGTGGGCACCATAGGCATTTTATTTCTGTTCTTTCTTGGTGGTCTGAAGAAGCATAGATGATAAGCCTTTGCCTCCTCAGTCAGGGACCATCATATCCTATGTGGCCCTGATTTATCTTTACATTGAGCTGGGAAGATGAATCCTTTCTCACATTCATCTAGTATTCTTCATGGCTGTTCAAAAGTCCATTTATTTGTAATTCTAAAGCAGAGATTCTCAACCAGTAGAATTTTGTTCCCCAAAGGACATTTTGGCGGCCATGTCTGGTGTGGGGGGCTACTATTGGTGTCTAATGGGTAGAGGCCAGTGATAGAGGCTGGTAAACCTCCTACAGTGCACAGGACAGTCCCCACAATAAAGAATTCTCTGGCCCACAATGCCTTTGCACTGGGATTGAGAAACTCTGGTCTACAGGAACCAGTAGTTCCAACCAACCAGTAGTACCATCCGATGGTGGCCAGCACAGATGACAATTTATTGCTCTGGCACATGGCTTTATTTGTATCTAGGAAGATTCAAGAGTTTTAATTTCAAAAGCAGAAGAGCTTCTGCATTTATATTTGTCTTCAGGGTTCTTACAGAAGAGTTAGTAGAACCGAGCAGTTTGCTGTGGAAAGAATTCATTGAGCATCATTTGTTGGGCCTGGTTGTAATATGATGCTGGTGATGGTGCCGTTCGCCTGCTTTAATCCGTGGTAGATACCTTCGAATCCTAAATAGGTACTTACTTTTAAAAGGCCTTCCAGGTTTTTTAAGATATGTCCAACTTACTACTAATAAACCAAGGAGGTATATGTTCCCTCCACTTAGAAGAGAAGAGTGAACAGTCGGTATCAAAGTGTTTTAAAGGGCTTTGCTTTTTCAGTAGTTGATTCATACAGTTTCAGAAAGCAATTGGTTTTCCATAGTTTACCTAGAATTCTAAATCTGGTTTGTTGTTTACTGTTGGTAGGGGTTTTGTTTCTTTGGTTTTGTTGTGTAGTAGGGGAGACAAAAGGAAAAATTTTTGAAAGAAAATCCTGAGTTTTTTTTTCTTTCTTAGATCATCTTGAGAAGGCAAGAGTAATATCGATGCAAGTTTTGATATGTAATAGTAGTGTGACAGACATAAGCATTGAATAATTTCCCACCCACTCTTTTTGGGGTAGGACCCATGCTGAGAGAGGACGCAGAAGAGCTTGTCAGTCAAGGCAACAGCTAATTAGATTAGCTCCAGTGCCTCTCTGGACGGCTTCTAGAAGCACACACCCTGTCACATTTCCATGGGTGTCAGTCCGGGCTCCCTTCTCCCCCATTCTTTTGGCTCAGACCAATCTAAGCTTGAAAATGGATGGAATAAACCTTTCCAGCGTGCCCACTCTGTGCTGGACTATCTGTACTAGGTGTGTGGTATTAGAAGAGAAACAGGAAGCACACAGTCTCCAGGGGTACAAAAGTAGGGTCAAGGAGGAGTCCCAGGCCCACCATGAATGTAACTCAGTGAAATAACACAGTGGTAGTACACCAGCAGTACAGACAAAGGGCTATGGGATTCTGCATTGCCCCACCAGGTGAGTTTCTCTTTTTCTTTTCTGGCTTGTAAGCCTAATTATTGAATGCCTATTTTCACTTTAAATGAAAATGGCAAACCTAAAATTAGTGAACGGTTGTTAAGTGATGGTGGACCCATTGGAGTTTGAAGGTGTTCTAGAAATCCTCCTCTGGTAGTGCTATTTATTCATGGTAAAAAAAAAATCACCCCCCTGTTTCCTCTTATTATGAGGCTCATGGAAACACATGGCAGTGGTCCTGATGGTGGACGCCACTGGGCAAGGGCAATCTCTAAAGAGTGACTGTGCTCCCTGCCGTGCTAGCGGGACCCAGCGCCGGTGCACTCTGGGCTTGTTTGTGGCTTAAATCATCTCAGTGCTCTGAAGGCTGCCCCCTGGAGACATGCTCTGAACCGTCCCCTGCTGACGATGGGATTGCAGCTCTCATGCAAAAGCTTGTCTTCTGATCCTCTCCCATGGAACATGACAGTTTTCTCTGTGATGGCCGAATTAATTATCAGAAATGGTTTGCTGGCACACAGTTGGATGCTAATTATGGTTGGAACCTTTGGGGCCCTTGAACCCAAATCTGTTGATGTTTGTTGTTGGTGGGAAAAATGAAAAACCATAAAATATGAAAGGAATATTTTTCTGGTAACAACTGAAAGCAATGCAGATTAGGCCAGGAAACTTGGATTGAGTTAACTGTGGTCTGAGTTAAAACTACTCAACCCATGGTTGTGAAGAAAGGGATTGAAGAAGTGGTTAATTAATTTTTACTTTCTGGTGAAGAGAGGTTTGAGTTTGGTATTTCTGTGCAAGGCAGAAAACTGGCATTGATTAAACTCGAAGTGACATTTGGGGAGGTGTTCTCAGAATGTCTAAGTTTGGTTATCCAATTTGACGTCACGCTGTGTCCCAGGTTTGTGAAATCTTTCTAGCAGGTTCCACCTGGGAGGAATTATTTTCAATTAAGTGGATCATGACCACTGGAGAAAGAATCATGAAGAGCACCTCTAGTGTGGGGTCATGTTGGGAACAAAGCTGCCCAGGTCACAAAGGGATGGTTTGGAAGTCAACCGGTGCTAATACTGGCTTTGGGTATCATTTAAATCTTTCCCATCAACAGTTACATTAATGAGGTGTAGACGTGAAGGCAGGTGGCTACTTCATGGAGGCCATGTGACGCAAGAACATGGATACTGTCACTGGCCCTCATTGGGGGCAAACAAGAAGGAGGCCATCAGACCCTTGATCATTGGAAAGGATAATAATCCACTGGGAGATTGTCAGAAAGTAGGAAGGGGATCAAGTATTAGTGGGGAAAGCAGAAAAGTAGAGAAAATAAGAACAGGAAACTTCCTGCTATTTCATACAGGTATGTGAATAAGCTGGCTTTCTTTAGCAGGGCTTATGATATGACACAGGCAATGTTCCAGCATACATTCTAGAATAATCTTTAAAGAATAAGTAAAAAAAAAAAAAAGGCACCTACTTTTTTTTGAGATTCCATGGATTTTATAATTAGGCTTTTTTCTCAAGGAAAGTTAAGGGATTCATAATTTCTTATTAAATTAGGTGGCTAATATAAAATAATATAAAATAAGGTTTGATTAATGTTGCATCTCAGATAATCATCAGACAGACTGTCTAGCAGAAACATAAACTTCCCTTTAGGTTTTTACTTGGAAATGCAGCAGTACGACGAGTCGCTGTTCATGAACTACTTTTAGCACAGCGTCATTTCTCGGGGAAAATTAACACACAAAGACGGGTGCATAAAAATAAATCGCATTGTTCCATGGCAGAACAAGGTGTGGTTGAGGACACAGTTCTGTTATCAGGGGCTATTTTAAAGTCCTTGAAATTTTTCTCCAATTACACTTTGGGTTGAATTTCCTGATGTTTTTTTCTTGCTTCCAAGGTACAAATGCAAGATAAGATGAAAGGGAAGTTTAAGGGAGTTGTATTTATTAAATCTGATTTCTCTTTGCCTTTTCCAACTTTTTCTTGATAATTTTAATTCTTGCCGTGCAGCAATTCAGTGACCTCAATTCTCCCTCTCATGAGCTGGAGAGGAAAGCCTTCTGTGTTTAAAGAGACTCAGAACCTCCAGTCTATCCTAGTTTGCTCAAGGGAGGCTGTGCCGGGGCAGAGATCCACCTGGCACAGGTGGAGGTTGGCATTGTGGCTGTTGGGAGGGCTGGGGAGGGTGGTGACCAAGCCAACAGCATGAATGCCTGGATGTATTCATGAGTTTCCACGTTCGTTTATTCACACACTCCTTCGCTCACTAACTGGTTCACAAAAACTTGCTGAGAGTTAAAGAATGCCAGGAACTATACCCATCTTGGGAAAGAAAACATGGGCCCCCCACCCCAGGGGTTCAGTTCCCAACTGTGCTTTATGGCAAATCTCTGGCATTCCACAGAGGAGCCAGATAAATACTACAGCCCAGGAGCTGTGTTACCAGCTGGGCACGTGTCTTTTGAATGGAGACAAGAATCATAATTTCACACTTCCTAATTTTCAAATATTAGAATACCACATACATCAGCAGTTTAATAGGTGGATGTCTCTGGATTCCATCAACTCTGTTTGAGACCTTCTGAGTGACTTTGGGCAGAGTGATGCTGTCAATCTGAAAAGAGCCTGGACTGGCGCCTCCAGTAGGTTCTGAGCCCCTCTGTGGCACTGACCACTTCTGTCACCTTGGCCAACTCACTTGCCCCAGCCAAGCCCCAATTTCTCATCTGTAAAACAAGACGTTTAAACAAAGTGAGTTTAGATCATCCTAAATTTTTAAAAATATATGCTTTTTTATTTTAATGGGTAAAAACCAGTGATTTTAAAGTTTAATCCAATGACTTTGTTACCAAAATGGGGAAGAAAACCCAACAAAAAAATGTTTTTTTCCATTTAGAACAAGATGAATTTCAAAAATACCATCATCTGAGTTGCCTGAGGTCAGAGCTGGGGTTTCGGTAATAACAACTGTCATCTATTGAGTAATTACAACATGTCCAGCCTAACAGACGTGATCTCATTTAATCCTTACCACAACCTTCGAAGGGAGGTTCTGTTATTATTTGGTACCCTTATCATGTGTGTACATTATATGTCCCCATTGTACAGATGAGGAGATGGAGACTCAGATGAAGTAACTCTATAAGTTCACACAGCATGAATGTTAAGATGGGATTTGAATCCAGATCTTCTGTATGAAGAACCACTTGACCAATGTTCTAATCAGCTCTCTGGCCACAACACTTGGCACAAAGGATCAGTCCAGTCATCACTGGGTGCATAGTGGGTAGAATAAGATTGAAACTATTAATGCTATCACTTTGAAGACGTGTACTCAGGTAGCCCTTTTTATGTCTTGTTATTGAATATTTTGTGTCACTGCGCAGAGGAGGCAGTGCTGCCAGATCATTTTCCTGCCAGTGGCTCTAGTTATAAACCTTCACTCATTAAAATGTGACATAATCCTCTAGCCCCTGATATTCCAGTATAGTCTCCTGACCAGCAGCGTTCACATCACCTGGTAACTGGTCAGCCGTGCAGGATCTCGGGCCCCACCCCAGACACCCTGAAGCAGAATATGCCGTGCACAGGTTCCCCGGTGATTCCTACGCACACTGAAGTTTGGGGAGCTCTGCACGTCTCCAGGTCCGCAAGTGAACTCCGGGCAGAGGAACACACTTGAATATCGTTTCCTGATAGCAATATTAATAGTGTTGTGGCCAAGGGTGAAGCATTTGAGGAATATATATAAGGTGCTGAAGAACGTGACACTCAGGAGGAAAGAACGTGACCTGAACACAGAAAATGTAAAATAAAAATCTTTTTCCGTGGACCTTACTTTTTATGTAGTTGAGGAAGAAATGGTTGTTTTTCTTTGGGAAAAAAAAATCATTTTAGATTGTTTGGAAGTCAAACAATAAAGTCAAAGTAATAAAAAATAAGAATTAATCAAAAGAGAGAAGGCAAAAACTTCTCAGGGCTCTCCTTTGTAGCTAACTGCAGGATGCCCTGCCCCTTTGTTTTTTCCTCTAAAGGTTCACATTTTTTATAAAACAGCTCCAAAGTGAAAAAATCATACATGTTGTATAAAATGATTACTCATATTTGTCGTTAAGAACAAATACACAGTGTGCAGCAACAAATGCCTTTTGTCCTTGTCTCATGGCTGTTTCTAAAATGCACAAAATTTTATACAGTATAGAGTAAAAAATAGAAAATTTCTTGCAATCAGTTGATTCTAACTCGTAAGTGAAAATTGAAGCTTAGCTCATTTAGAGCAAGTTAAATTATGTGTTCAGTGAAGTCTTTAAGGTTTATATTGAAAAAAATTAGGTATTATGTGCAAAACATAAATTGATTATAAGGTAAATCGAATCTACTGTGAAATGTGTGCATGTAAGTGTGTTAGTACGTGTGTATACATAACGTGTTCTGATATGGAGGAAGATTATTACTCCTTGATTTTATAGTGTGTTGATATTTTACAGAAGGTTAAAGCAAATGGAAGTGTTGCAAGGATTTCCAGAACTATCCATCCTAACTTCTGGGTTCATGTTCTCCAAACTGCTAATTAATGTAGAGTCAGCTTCATATATTGAGATGTTTAATCAATTGGCAGATTACTGTCAATAAATATGTGTCTTAAGTGGTTTGTAATAGACAAGCTAATGAAGTGCCCTCTGTGAGTGTCAGAGCTATTGGGAGAAATCTCTCTCCCTTCTGGGCGTCGTGCCATACGTTATTAGTCTCCCTCTGATGCAGAGAAGAATGCCCTTCACCGTCACCGATCTCACCTTTGGATGGAGTATCTGGAAAACCAGAAAGTGAATTTCATTTTATACTCATGGTTAGTCAGGCAATGTGAGGTGGAAAAGGTGGTTACTGGTAATATTAATGGTATTAATAGTAACTAGTGTTTCTTGAGCAGCTACTACGTGCCAGGCTCTGTGCTCAGTACTCTGATTTCAGTTACCTCATTTAATCTTTTCAGCAACCCTGTGAGAAAGGGCACTGTTTCTCAAACCTCTCAGATCCTTTATGTAACCAGTATTTTTGTCATGCCACTACAATCCTGAAATAGATTTCGTAGATAACATAACCTTCTCCACATGTGATTTTTTTAAAAAAGTCATTGTAATTCCCCAACTATAACATAAAGGAGAAGTAAGAGGAATACAGTTTATTATTGAATCCATTCAATATATAAATGCTTGCTCCTGGCTACACTAGAGGATGGGAAGCAGTAGTGAGATGTTTGCATCTGTGCATAGACATCCTCTGTGGGAATTTGACAGCGCTCCCTGCAGACTGATAGAGGTGAGATGTACGAGCTACTGAAATGTCATAAGTAGTCTCGGTGTCAGTGATGTGATTTTCCGAAATGGGGACCAATTCTTAGTAAAGCTTCAGAAACAAAACAAAATACAGTCCCACCTCTATTTGCACAAAAATTGCATTGATACTAGACAGAAAATACTTTGTGTTCATACATAAAACAGATTTAAGTTCTAGGGTTTCCGTCTACACGCATGTCCAGTGGACACTGAGAAGTCCTGTACCCGGGAAGACCACTCTTAACGTTGCAGGCCTGGCCTGTTTATCCAAAGACACAGCGTCCCAAACCTTCACCCAGTAAATGCTGATGGAGCGCCCTAAATCATTAGGACAACCACACACCCCCCCACAGATTTCCAGAAATTCTGCAGGAGAGCATTGCTACCCCCAGAGGCAAGGGTACTGTGGTTTTCATCCCTATTTTCCGCATGTGGCAACTAAAGCATCAGTAATTTTCCCAAAGGCACATAGCCAGGAAGTAGCGGACTGTTCCTCCTGACTCCAGAATCCTTGTGTTTAACCCACTGCTCCATCTTCCCCGGTGCATCAAGACAGGCCAGCATCACCAGATGAGAGCACCTGTGGGCTTTGTGGGTCATTTCTTAGAATTGTGATGTTAGGAGGAAAAGTGTTTATTGAAAGACCATTGCTTGCCATCTACTGTGTCCAGGTGCTTTGCACACATTATCTAATGTTCACAACAACTCTCCAGTGTAGTTTTTATTCCCTTTTTGCAAATC